CCCCCCCCGTCCGACCTGCCTTACCAATTTTTTTTCTTTCTTGACAAAACGGGGGTGCGCAAAACACACAACCCCCGGGTCCCCCCCACAACATCGAATTCGCGATTTAGGGGGGGGTTACATTTTTTCCGAGACCCCTAAAAAAAGAGATATAACCCCCCCGCATATTTCTTTTTTTATTTTTATTTTTATGTGTTTGTGGCGGGGGACGACCTGCGCAGGCGGATGTGGGCACCCCGATTTTGGGCGCGCGACTCCGCCTGCCCGAGGCGCCGCCGCAAAAAAAGTCGGTTGAGCGGCCCCGGCCGGCCTCCTCGGTCGCGGCCGAGGGTGCCATGTAGGCGCATGCGCGTTCGCTGCGTTCAGACTGTCACATAGCAGCAGCATGTGCAGCCCATGCAGCTGCTGCAACTGCTTCTCTCTCTCGTTCTCTCTTTCTCTCTCCCTCTCTCTCTCTCTCGTTCTTTTGGCACCAACACATGTCTGGTGTCTCAGACAAAGGTACACCTTTATCTGAAACACACACAATACTCTCTCTCTCTCTCTCTCTCTCTCTCTCACACACACACACACACACACACACACACACACACGCTTGCACACTTTTTTTTTTCTTCGATTGATTGATTGATTGGTTGGTTGATTGGTGGGAGGGGGTTCGCAACCTTGCAATTTGGGAAAAAATATATATGGGGTTGTAGGGTTCGAAAAACCCTACAACCCCATTCTTTTTTTTTTTTTTTTTTTTTTACGTCTTACTTCGCCGGTGCAAGGAAAATGAGCAATAGCGAGATGACAGAATCCAGATTACACGATCACATTTTAAGCCAGAAAGTCTCACAGTGTCCAGAAAGCAGTATTGCACCAGGTATGAGCCCTCACATCATCATCATCATCTCTATCTCTCTCTCTCTCTCTCCCTCGTCTTTTTCCCTTGTCTTCCCCCTGTACACCCGAAGACCACCACTGCGCCTTGCTGTATAAAGCCCAGCCAGCTATGGAAGCTGGCAACAGCGTTGCCCTCAGCAGCGCCTTTCTTCACACACGACCGCACGTGCACAACACCTTGCCCCAGCGCTAGCAGCAGCAAGAGAGCAATCGCTCCAGCAGCACTGCCGCAAACTAGCAAGTGCCCGAATGCGATGCCAGGCAGCGGGTTCTTTCCTATATGGAAAGAGTCTGGCCTGGCCTGCTGCCTTGTTGGGCTGGGCCTGCGCCCAGAAGCTTTCGGTAGGCCCCAGGTAGCTGGGCCTCTGTAGCTGCTGCTGGGCCTCGTTCTGTTGCGCCTCCCAACTGTCTGTGTATATTGCTGCGAATGTGGCCCAGGGCCTGCATTTCAGAAAAGGCCTAGAAGGCCGTGGAAAATCTTTGCTGCTCGGGACCTGGGTTCCCTCAACCAACTGACGCGACACAACTGCTTGAACCCCAAATACGAAATTGACAGCACTGGGCCTCTCGTGATTTGTTAGGCCCGCCTTCACTTAGGGCGGGCTAACTTGCATACCGGGCCGCTTAGACCTGCCGAGGAGCCAATGCCTTGCATTCCCTCCTCCTTTACTTCGATAGTCCCCTGAGAAGTTCTTTAATCTGCAGGCAACTTTTCCTTGAGTGCTCTTTTGTAGCCTGCAATCACTTGGGGAGCTGTTTGCTGGAGTTTTTCTCTGGTAAACCACCGATCTTCACTGGGATCAGTATGGTGTCTGAATCTGACACAGTACTGCATCCTCAGCTTTGGTGGTTGGCCTCTGCCAAGAGGTTTAGGCACTGGCATCACCCGATGCTCCACAATTTCGTCAATGTCGAATTCACCATCCATGGTTGGGGGCAGCATCAATCCTCTGGAGGGAAACTGTGCAGTTTCTGTAAAAGGTGCCAGCTTTGAGGCGCGAAAGACTGGGTGTGTGCAAAGGTGATCAGGGATGCGAATAACATAGGAAGGTCCATCTATCTGATCCCCCACTATGTCTAGGACCTCCCATGGACCGAAATACTGAGGCATTAATTTTCAGGAAATTCCTAACTCGTGACCAATTTCAGATGATATAACCAAGAATCTGTCCCCTACCTGAAAGTTAGAAGGCCGTCTATGTTTGTTCTCACATGCAATCATAACATCCCGAGACTTCCTGATGAGTTCAACGGCCTGTTGTAGCATTCGTTCGTACTTGACAGCAAATTCTATGCTTCCCGGTGCTACAGTTGACTAATTCTCAGGTAGTAGGAAATCAAGGGTGCATATTGGCTTCCAACCAAGATGCAGTTGGTTGGGAGTCATGCCAGTAGTGCTGTGTGCACCTATGTATCCCCTGCAGCTGTGGTGATGGGGGTCATGACTGCGGCCTGCGGTCGGGGCCGCGAGGCCGCTGTCATGACTGCCGCGGTCGCGGTCGGAGATGGCCCGCTGCGTCCGAGGGGAGGGGGGTCCTCCCAATCGGGGTCGGGATTCCGGTGACGGGACCCGGGCCCCAACCCCCCATAACGAAAAAAAAAATAATAATAAAAAATGGGGGAGTCCAAATAAGGGGTTTTTAGAGGAGGGAGAAAAAAATTGTAGACCCCACCTTTTTTTTTTTACTCCTCATTTATTCTATCCCTTGAAAATGTCTTTGTTTTTTTTTTTTTACTTTTTTTTTAATTGATTGATTGATTGACGGATTGATTGGTTGGTTGATTGGTTGATTTTTTTTTTTTTGATTAATTGATTGATTGATTGATTGATTGATTGATTGATTATTTGGTTGATTGATTGATTGGTTGATTGATTGATTGATTGACTGATTAATTGGTGGGGAAGCTCCCCCCCCCCCAATGTTGTGAAATCACACATATGTCCAGGTAGTCGTATCCAAGCAGAGAGTACAAAATGCACCAAGAAACCATCCATATTGAGCAATACAATGAAGTAATGAGCCAATGTTCAAGCCCGTAGGCCACACCAGCACAGTATCCACAGTCGCTCCTCTCTGTCTGGCGCCCAGCGCCCAACCTACTCTGCCCGACTATCCTAACTACAGCTGGTTCACGCAACAGGCTCACTTCGACTCTCGAAGACCAATGTACATGACTGTCAACTCCATAGCCGACCTCTCTTCATGCACCAGGTACGTATCTCGTCACCCTCAATCAGACCTTAATTACCCCACACTGTACCTCCTTCCCTAAAGACCACCAGATCATCCGCGGTACCCTCTGGCGCCCAGCAGCCCGGCTATGGCCGCTTGCGCCCCGCTGCCCTGCAGCGCCCCAATTCACCACTACGCGCCCTGTCAGTGCCCTTGGCATCAGCGCAACATCAAGCGATAGCGCAGCAGCACTTCCGCATTGCCTGCATTGGCCAGAATGTCTGGCTTGGACTGCCCTACTCCTTTTGTGGAAGTGGCAGCCTCCTGGATGCTGCGTGTGGTCTGGCTGGAAGCTTCCAGTAGCTTTCGGTCGGGCCTCAGACCCTGTGCCCAGGCCCCAGAGTACAGTTGAAGGCCTGGCCCCTTTTCAGTTGGGCACAACCTGAGTCTCCAGACTTGGGCTGGTTGCTGCATTTGTGCAGGGCCCCCAGGTAGGTGCGTTTTCCAAAGTATCGGCCCTGCTTTGCGTGTATGTGCCCAGGAGCAACTGTCAAGGCCTGGGCCAACTGTACGACACAGCTTAGTACGGGTCACGCATCTGTCCAACCAA